AACTGTACTCGGTAATAAATCATAATTGTCTAGTTTAATCTGTTTTGCTTTTATTTTTTACATTATTATTAAATTGCTTGTATTGGTGTGTCTGTATTTAGCATAATAAGGTATAGAAGCCTTATAATGCTAAATTGATATTACAAAATTTGTTAGGCAGGAGTATAAGTCAGGAAGGAAGGGGTAAATACCCTTCGAACTTTCCCCTGTGTTTGCCATTCGGGCAATATAGTGTGGAAAATTCCTGAAAAGTAAGAATAAAAATTAGGAAAGAGAAATCGAAAAGTTTAATTGCACGTTAAATCCGCGCCATTTTCCATGTTCGTGAAGTCTCTCAGCACTTTGCTCATTCACGCTAATTCTTGTTCAGGGAAAGCGTTACTGTGAAACATTTCTTTGTTTCGCATTAAACACTGGGATCTGCATCGGCCTTTTTGATATGTCAGGATTTCAATCACGCTTTCCGGAACGATAATTCAGAGCTGCCGCGAACTGAATTGATGAAAGAAGGCCACACACCCTTATGCAATTTGCCAAGAAGTGCTATCCTGAAAGATTTTCTATGGGAAAACTCCAAATGCCACAACCAGTTTTCGGTGATTCACTCAGCCACTTGTTGATCCCGATGTCGCAAAATATATTGCTGAGATCTTACGTGCATTATTATAAACACTAACAACGCAGTAACTTTACATTGATAAAGGTGTAGGAGTGTCTCAAGGAAAAAAATTATCAAGTGGAGAATTCAATATTAGAAAAAAATTGAAAAATACTGCGGTATGCTGCCGTACGGTGAGAAATTTTCCCAGTTCCGAAACTCCTATGGAGAAAAGTGGGAATATTGAGAAATTGGTGAATATTTGCAGATGTTATGAAATAAGGAGGAAACTCTGAAACTGGTTAATTTTTACTATAGGCCTAAANAAATGACTCCCCCCAGATTTTACATTTTTGGATTCAGGGGATTTATATCGTTAAGAAATGCAAAAAAATTCGGTGGTTTTTCAGAATGTATGGCACTGATGTTTGTGTGTGGGAAGCACGATTTTCTTCACCCTACTTTAAACCTTAATAACTCCTGTGCTTTTTGTCGAAAATTTCTGAAATTCTACAGTGAGGTTTGTATATTACGGGGATGGATGCTATTAAATTTTGGTGTTTAAAGGTCTTACTAAACTAAGGGATGCAGACTAACATAGTATTTAGGCCTAATTTCTTACGTAAAACATAATGAAAATTATGCTTACTTTCTGTAAATTGTAATTAAATGCGTACTTATATTTAAAAATAATTTTATTACATTTCACGTAGAAGGTGTCGCTGCTCCTTTAACGGAGAGATAAGGCAGAGTCGTGTGTCGTATATAGAGTAAGGTCGGACTTAATGACGATTTTATTCGTTATTAGCATATACAATTTCTTATAAAACCCATTCCTACCCTCAAAATGAAGTGTTTTGCTATTTTATAATAATTAAAAAATAAAAAGTGTTTGATAAAATATCATAACAGACGGTGTCACCAAATGTTGTTAGGAACGTTAAGCAATTTTATACAAGTGAAATATGTAGAATATTTTTTTATTAACATCATTGCAGGTTCTCGGAAACTGCAATGTTAAATATAACATACAACGAAACCAATTTTATCATATCTAAATCTACAGGAATGGCAAATCTACAAATTTTCCTGTCGTGTTGAAAGTGGCACGTCCGGAAAAATCTTGTCATGTAACGTATCATGCGATTTCGTTCCTCAATATTTTTGTTTTCAATCAGCTTCTTTACATTTATTTTAATTAACACATATTTCTTTTCGTTTCTTTAAATATCGTTATTGCAAATCTACAGCTTTGTCACACATGAACATTTGTAAAGATAATTATGTTCACTGGCACGCGGATTCAAAAAGATTCGCTATGTTTAAATAATATAAACAATATATAATACAGTTAATATCATGTTATTGGTTTGTGTTTTCAACTCCAGCATTTAATTTCCAACACATAATGTCAATTTTCCTGTTAGTAAAGAAAATTAAACAACGATAATTGTAAATGATTAGATTGATTAGAAATGTACTGTATTTGTGTCTTTCCTCAAGGAATTTAAAGGAAATGATGTTAAATGAAGATCTTCTACACTGTATAGTACATAGATTATTAAGAAGGAATATATCTAGCCGTTAAGTCTTTAGTTCATTTATAATTTATTTACTACGCTTTAGCTAAAATCAATTTTTCTTTGATTAATTAAATTTCAACTTCATGTTGGAATTTGATATTTTTACTGTCAAAAGATGTTGAACTTTCATTTTAATTATTTGATAAATTTAAAATTAGCAATATTATAATTTATAAAATTCAAACACAGAACAATATTATTGTTCTGTGTTTGAATTAAATTGATCAAACTGAAAACAGTTCGTTTGTTTCTCAGCAATTCTCATCATTCTCAGTGGTAGGTGTTATATAACAATTACTATGGTTGTGGAAATACTGAATATAAATGGTGTTTGCTTGTAAAATCCGCGCGAGCGAAGTTGCGGGTAACAGCTAGTAAAAATACATATAC